CCAATCATGTATAAAACACCTCGAATAGTTTTTATCAAACAATATTTTCGCAGGGAGTACATGTTTAGAAGAAGGAAAAAAACCACAACAAAGTAGTCTAACATGCAAATGCGTTGTTGGAAGTAGCAATTTCAAAGAAAAGGAAAACAACGCCCTTAAGGTCCAACGAGTCGTATAGCTGTACTTGCTTTACATTTTTGAGGGGGGGGGGGGACATACACCTGTCACGCCATTTTGGATACACCACTGGTAGCGTCTTATAATATTAAATAGAATATGACTGCCACTTATTATTACCAGGGACCCCTCTGTCATGACCCGGTCAACATACTTATTCCAAGTAATACCTGAATATGAGTCAGAACAATGACATTACTATGTTTGTACTGATATCATAATGTAAACAACAGATGTAAAAACAACCACTCCAAGTAAAAATAGAACAATATTATTTGGCAGACTTCGGGATCAAAACAGAACAAGAAGGCAAAATGCCGCACTTGTATCCCGGGGTCAATCCTAGAAGAGGGGCATACCCTTGCCCCAAAAATGTATATTTCAGGGGCGTGGGGCAGGTGAAATGAAATTTAAAAGTGGATGTAACATTCTATTTCATTTGTTTTCTTTAAATCATATTTTTTAATAAGATTGAAGTTATTCCAGAGACGCTGGCTCTTGGAGCAGCAGATAGAAAGAAAATCCACTCTTTCGAAATGTGGTGATGGCGGAGGGTGCTAAGGATATCCTGGAAAGTTCATAATTCTCATGATTTTGTCAAGAACCAAAATGGAGCGAAGGTCACCCTATGCCAGAAGATAGATAAGAATAAGTTGCAGTATGTTGGACTTATTTCTAGGAGAGAAGGTGACAACCCGGAGAAGATCATTTCCAAAGGTCATGTTGAGGGTCAACGAAAACGTGGTAGGCCAAAAGTTCGTCGGGCTGGCGGAATATGAACATCTGCACAGCTATTCGCTATATATGCCCAGGCGAATCCGGACACCTACCCCCTGGACATCGACCCCCAGTCAACTACCCCCTAGGACAACTACCCCCTAGGGTAACCACCCTCTAGGACGACTACCCCCAAGGACAACTACCCCGGACAACTACCCCATAGGACAACTACCCCCGAACAACTACCCCAAGGACAACTACCCCCAGACAACTACCCCTAGGATAGTTGTCCGGGGGTAGTTGTCCTAGAGGATGGTTGTCGTATGGGGAAGTTGTCTGGGGGGGGGGTGGTTGCCCTAGGGGTAGTTGTCCTGGGGTTAGTTGACTGGGGGTGGTTATCCGGGGGTGGATGTCCAGGGGTAGATGTCCTAGAACCATGCCCAGGATAGAAGTGTTCGGAACGTCATCATCAATAGGGTCACAAACGGTCAGTCATGACTCGTGGAACGATGACGCAACTATTTAAAAAAAGTTTGTACCGTGTAGGGCTTACATTTTCGATATATTTTAGTCTTCTTCTGTAACTACATGTATAATTTATTGGATTTCCATATATTTACACCCAGTGAGAGGGGAAACTGTCCCTATCCACCAGGATTTCTTAGGGGAGGGGGCCCAACTTTTTTTTTTTTGCTCCCGAAAACTTGAAAATCGCGCCGGCCGGGGGGGGGGGATTAGTGAAATTTGAAGAAAAAAATTCAGGGGGGCGGCCCCCCCCCCCTGGATCCGCCACTGTCCACAACTACAATACGACGCCTCTGTTGTCTTTCATACCATGGGTCATTCATTGTTCATCGGCAAATTATGAAATATACTTTGACCGGTTGAGTTATGATCATTAGCATGATGTTAAATCATATTTCATATCCAGGTACTTACCACCATTTAATATGGAAAGACGTCTATTAATCGTTGGGAGCTGTTAACCCCTCCCCCCCCCCCCCCCACTCCGGCGTCGGAAAGACCGCATGCGTGTCACCAAAATGTCCGGTAAAGGGGTACTTTTCGTGCGACAAAGTCTGGCCCGAGAATTGTAAAAAAACGGGGTGTATTTGATTTTTCGCCCGGAGATTTCTTTAAAAAGGGGGTGTTTTTCTTTTTTTTCTCAATTCTTTGGACTCCTGAGAAATTGTTCCGAATTTAGGGGGGTACATTGAGCATTTTTCCGTATTTAGGGGGGTCTCCAAGGCAGGAAAAGCCCGCAAAAAGCCCGCGAAAGGGGGTTTCGGAAATGTTGGCAGTCCTCAGATAGGGGGTGCTTTCAAAAAGAGGGAACGAGCATACGCGTACCCTAAATAACACTGAATGGGGGGCCGGGCTGTTAACGGTTATTTGTTCAATGTTGTAAGACGAAATTTAACTTTAAAAGTAATTTTCAGTCGCTACGAAATTTGTTTTCTTTATCTCATCAGACTGAGTTTGTTCCGCGAACGCTAGCCATGTAGAGATTAAGTCGCTGATTACCGTTTATTCGTTTACGTGCAGTTGTCCAAAAGGAGACATAGATGGCGTTCCCTGTATTCGTCAGTTTAAACCCCCTTTAACATGCATGTACAAAGATGAGTAGTATTTTTAAAGGTTTTGACGCTAAGGATTGATCCATTATTATCAGAATTGGGTGAAATTGTTTAAGTTGCATGATTGCGGGAACCTTGCTGGCGTCTCTCTCTCTCTCTCTCTCTCTCTCTCTCTCTCTCGCCATCTGGGTGGGGGGAGGGGGAGGGGGTGTGTTGGGGTTACATTAGAGCTGCTATTTCCTTTAAAAAAGAAAGGGGCATGTGATCCCCCGAATTACAACGATTTTTATCCTTATTAAAAAATAATGGACTGTTCGCCTTTTTCTGCCCAGACCTTATATTTTGTTTTAATGCATTAAGAAAATAATAAACGTCATAGGAAACATCCACTATATATTAGCTTATAAATAGTACATTGACCTTAAACAGTATACGTTGTAATTCGTCCGAATGATAATGATCGAGGGAATTTTTGCTTGTAAGTTTATTTATTCTTTGAGCTAATTGTAGATATCCATTGTCGTAAATATTTTATTAGCGGTAGTGAACATCAGAAGAGAGGAATTTAGATGTAGGATTTTATTATTGAATAATGAGAATTACTGTCGTTAATTTGATGGCTTCATATCACTATGACATCGAAATAAAAGATCATTTCTATTTCACTTCTATTGCCGGTTTATTGATTGATTGATCAAATCCATTATCACAACATAATTATCCAGAGCCATAGAAACATAGCTAAGGCCCAATTTGGTAAGTGTACGTTTGACGTGTACACAAATACACTGTATACAGTATTTGTTTTCTTTTTTTTCTCCTAAGTGCCTTCTCCCTTGGGGCACTACTCAATATCATGGACTTTTTTTTAATCCAAACAACAAAAAAATTGAGGGGGGGGGGGTCCGATCTCCATTAATCTTTCATCATTCTGCTTATCCAGTTTTTCTGCTTTCTTTTAAATTAGTTGCCTGTCTAAGGTTGGATTCCCTTTGTGAAACTAATAATTATTGAGAGGGAGTAGCGGAAATTTGACCCCCCCCCCCCTGACCTCAAAAAGATCCCATAACACCAGCCCTGTTAAGTTGAGAAAATTTCAATTATTTTCATGTTTCATTATACATTATTAAGAAGAAAATACACTCAAATTTACACGTGACTTTTATAACTCCATCGCATTCAACCATTTTGCTCCGACACACACACAAATACCTCGTTAGTAAAAAAAAAAAAAATGAACACAATATAGCCATAGTAATTATGAATAAAATGTAATGTTATATTACATGAATGCAATATTATGAAGGCAAAGTTGAAACGATATCAGCCGTTGCAAATAGTAGTAAAAATATTATAAAAAACATTGTTTTGACAAAGTGGCATGTTAAAAAAGAAGCTTCAAAATGTACATTGCAAACAAATAAATGTGCATATATTCTCGACGTAATTATGATAAACCTGCACAATGTTTTATTGATTGAAAAGGTTTTATTAATTGCACTTCGCAGCCAGAAGGCTGAATTATGAACAATTTACATTGGCAATAAATTATAATACATACAAATGTGGTTTGACATTCTCACAAAGTATAATAAACAGTATATAACAAAATTCATAACAAAGTTCATAACTAATATGACTAAGGCAATAACAAGCAAATTAAGTCACGTTTAAAATATATTTTGTTGAGGTGACACAAGAGTAAGTCAAAAGATGAGCAAGCAGGCCCTTTGCTCTTCAATACACGCTCTCATTCCTATACACGCTCCTATTCTCACTCCTGTACCATGGACACTCTCATAAACACTCACATTTACACTCTTATACACACTCCCATTCACACTCCCATACACTAGCTAACGGTCTGCTCGCTCATTCTTGGACTTCTCTTGTGTCAAGGAGTGTCGGGAATTTCAAAAAAAATATACAACAACAAAACAAGTAAGCTCCTTCCCGACTTTCGTACATTGGGGAAAAATAAGCAAATGAATTAAAAACTTGAACACCATCTGATCTGAATTGCCATGTCATGATTGCTACAAAACCTTATCACTATTCAATGTACATTTTATAAAGATGTTACAAGTAATTATACAAGCATAAAATTTAAAATTTTAAATGCGGAATGTAAAATGTAAAAATGTAAAAATGTACACAGACAATGAGAGTCCGGACCATTTAACAGGTAGACGATAAAGATTCATTCATGCATTCAACAGGTCTATTAGGTACGGAATTGAGCTATTTCTATAGCGGTTCGTTTTGACGGTACTTGGTCCTTCTTCGTAGGGAATAATCTACATTATTGTTAATAGGTATCTTTTTTAACTTTATATGTTGGCATTTTAGGTACACCAGTTCAATAGTTCCATCTCAAATTGATATCGAAATAGTTAAAACTATTTCGCAGTCTCACTGTCTCCTACCCCACTTTACTTCCCACCCCCTCCTTATTCTTCTTCTTTTTCTTCTTCCTCCTTGTCCTTCTATACTTCTTGTTTTTGTTTTACATATTTTTTTTAATTCTTCTTCATTCTTCGTCTTCTTCCTGTCCTCCTCCTTATTCTTACGGCTCTGTTAGTTCTTCTTTTCTATTCTTCTCCTCTTTAGTCTTTTGAGGTGTTTCAAATTATTCTTCTCTTTTTTCTCTCCATTTTCTTCCTGAGCTTGGACGACTTTCCCTAAAGGATGCATTTGTTTTCTTATATATTCCCACATTATAAGAAAACTATTATTATGCTCCAGTGTCTGGGTCTCAATTATAATTTTACTACATGAGAAATATACAATTGCATGTACAGGTATATATGAACATACCTTTCAAATATCTGTTCATGAAGAAATAGATTCCGTCAACCTCTTTTTTTTAAATAAAATTGCTAACAAAAATATATAACACTAATCGTCGTCCAGATAAACAAAGTTATAAAACCCATGGTACTGTCGTACAGAAAATTACTATGTTCTCTACAAAACATGATATACATTAACATAGAGTTATTTACTTACACAGAAACGACTTGTATACCATGACACTCTTTGATGTAATATGTACAACGATAAATTCAGATGAAGAATCTTCTGCCTGCATGCGACCCTCTATGTTTGCCGTTTTTCTCGAATATTAAATAGTTTTGTTTATATTCTAGGTTTACTGAAACTATATTCTTGGTCTTCTTGTTGTATAAAGGTGCCACAACAAATAAATACCATTTATTTCTATTTTCAACGCCGTTGCAAAAGCAGCCTATGAATTTGAAATCGTTTATTGCACACCCAGTTGAGTCTTTGTGTTTGTTCGTTTGTCAGCTCAAGTTTTGCTTTTGAAGACCACCTCCCTCCCCCTCCCCCTTTTTTAATATTAAAACTTTAATTACGATTATACATGTGAACAATATGGTCGTGTGGTAAACATATTATGCTATCGAATGTAAGTGTAGGTCAGATAATATACATGTAACAGTACAGGCATTTTTTTTACTGCAAACATTACCATCCTGTACCAAAAATTCAATTCTTTCCTGGGTGGGGAGTGGCAAATCTACGTGAGTTTCTCGACTTCAAAAAAACATGTAATGATACGCTTCTCCTACTCAGGACTCGAATCCGGTACTTCTGAATGCAGTGCTTTCTCCACTAGAATGCCCACAGGGCCCCCGGCCGATGAATAGAACTTACTAACAATGGTAACTAGGACATTAATGATTACTTGGCCATTAATGGTAACTTCCATTGGAACTTTGATTTGATTGGAAGATAAAGAATGCACTGTTGAGTGATGTTGCCATGGTAGTGAATGATGATGGCAAAGTCACCACCAATTTCAAGTTTTATGCAACGGGGCTCCATATGACCTTTAAGGTGACACGACATTTGCTCCTGCGACAATTGCTCCGGGCTTTATTTCGTCTAAGATGTAGGGTTAGGGTTAGGGTTTCAATAGGGTTTTATGTTAGGTTTAGGGTTAGGTTTAGGGTAGGGTATAGTGTTGAATCCAGGGTTGAAGTTAGCCATTCGATTAGTGTATGAAATTTACAGCGGAGCAATTGTCGCCGGAGCAAATGTCATGGAATCGACCTTTAAATATGAAATGAACTACATGTATGTCTAAGATGTTAGCCTCAATCAAACCTGGTACAGAACAATATCGACAGAGAATCGATCTGTATTATTTATGTACACAGCATGGTAAATAATACAGTCTAAAGTTTAAGGGCACCAGGGCCCATGCATGCTATTCACCTGTTTATTTCATATTGTACAAATAACAAGAAATCAGGTCCTTCTTTTGAATGACACGCATTAAAACCGTGTTTATGACACATCGTGTTTGTACAATCGTCAATTCAAACAAGTCAATTTTCTAAATGTATTGCAAATTTATATATAATCACTTAGCTACGAGCTATTATTATTCTCACTTGTCATATGATCGCAATAGTCAGAATGCAAAATGTATCGGTTGGTGCTAGGTCGGACAAACATATGACTTGCTCTACAAAACAACACGTGGAAACTTAAGTTTGCAATTTGCTTATTGACCATTGATGTTCAACAATTATTCGTTACAGGTGAATGAACAATTTGTTATGATGCACTTTAACACAATACAATATTCCAATAGCCAGTACAATGATTGTCTAAAGGAGAGACATCCATTGATTATACATAAATCTCCAATTTCGTTGAAAAAGTAGGAACTACACTACGGAGGCTCGATCTGTTACTTCTTTTATTGCTGTAAACAGAATCTGTAGTAGGCCTAATTAGTTATACCTCGGTCACACTGCCATACCGACCCCAGACCGACCAGGTTTGGGCTTTTGGGGGTAATGTCATTCTTTGCTCGGTCTTTAGTCGGCCTCGTTGATGTGACCGATGTATAATAGTTTACATTTCTGCTCTTGAATAAGTCGAAAAACGACAAAGTGTGATAAAGTTTGATTAAATTAACAACAATAGTTAGATTGTATCCCAATCGCGTTCCTACTAATGTACCCTATCTGTTTTTATTACTCGCAGTTACACACAAATAAATAATTCGCGTGACGCCGTACCAGTCAATAATACATAACCAGACATTATGACACCAGGGAGGTGATAGGAAGGAGTAGAATCAAGCCGCTTTCCTTTAACCCCATGCTCCAAGCCGCCGAAAAGTTATGCGCTAATCTGCAACTGTTGACCAGGTGGTGAAATAGAAGAGTGCACGCAATATCAGGATTTAGAATTCCTACATCAGAAAATGGAGCACGGAACTTCAAATCCAAGTGGAAAGTTACACATCCCATTGTTACACTTTAGAAGTCACGCATGCGTTTGAATAAATTACAAAAATTCTTCCTACCACCTCCCTGATGATACCATGTATCTTTTGAATTATACATGCTTCATTCAATCTTGCAGGCTGAGGACCAATACTGATCGCTGAAAGCGGCAACGAGCTGAATGCCTTCGCTTGCCTTTCGGCTAGCCGTCTGTAGACTAGAAGAGGCCACGTACCGGGAAACATGACACTCATCTAATATAAAAACGAGGAGTGTTCCGACCTACTTCAATATGATTATGACATTAGGGGGCATCATGTTGGACAAATGCCAGAAAAGTGAATAAATAATTAGTGTGTATCTATTGGGCTATACTATGTCATCTGATGGCAGGTATGGTTCTAGATGAAGAATTAGTGGGACGGGGCTTTGGGGCATGGGGGCTCTGCATTCATTCCCCCTTTTATTTCCCATTCACCCCCTTGTAACCACGTGATTTGGGGGAAGGGTGTATGCCCCAGTCTGACAGTCCCCCGGTATGTAAGCCACTGGCAAGCTGCGACACTGACTCAGTGTCTAAATTTAATGATCTACATGTGCCAATTCGTACAATATTCTTTCAGGTTTGCGAAGTGGGTTTTCCCCGAGTACCAGGAATTCCAACCGTCCTCTACCGGAGGCCCACTCAATTATCAGTATAATCGCCGACAGACAATGTTGATGTCTAGCCAAAAGTGGCTTCCATACTTCAGGGGTCAGACAAGGATGCTTCAGTTTGTAACTTTTCCTCTTCCAAATAATTTGCTGTCTTAACGACTCGATGAATGAAGCTGTAAACTGCTGCCACACTGTAAGACTGTTCCTTTAGTCTACTTCATCTCTTCGACTTTAATAGAAAACTATCACAAATATGGTTTCCATTGATCCATCCATGAGCTGTGACCACATAATTAAGGAGAGAACACAGAATCCAATTGTTTGTAACATGGAGAAATGTTTCGATATTCTTCTTCAAAATATTGCCCCACTCTCTTTTTCATCTTCCCCTAAAGATCCCAACACGCAAATAAATACATGTAAGACAGTGCATTACCAAAACAGGTGGAGACAGAGGGGTGAAGTTTCGAATTCTCATTATGTATCTGACTCAGATTCTGCTCTCAAAAGTTTGACTTCGTTTGCGATTTGAATGTTGTATACATCAGGACTTCCTCCAGTGATAGGCTCTGTAGTTGTATCGACATAAGGTGATTTAGGCGACAGAGGTGTGGTTCGTCTTCTGTTTCTCCTCTTCCAGAAATAAACAGCACTGACGATGAACAGGATAACTACAAACTGAAACATGAACGAGAAAGAGAGAAAGAAAAGGCGAGGGAAAGAGAGAGAGAAAGAGAGAAAGTGAGAAAGAGAAAAGGCGAGGGAAAGAGAGAGAGAGTGTGCGTGTGCGTGCATGTGTGTATGTGTGTGTGAGAGAGAGAGAGAGGGGGAGAGGGAGAGAGAAGGGGGACAGACAAACAGAGAGAGAGGGAGAGAAAAGAATAAAGCAAGATATCATAAACCATATTATACACTCTAGGCCCCTAGAAAATTCACACATACACACACGCACACGAACACACCCACACACACAAGGTTCACAGATGATAATAGATTCGGATTGCACAGTATACACTATTTTATTTATCGCTCGGCTTCAGTAAGGCTCTCTACATAAGATTAATGTTTGACATCAGAATTTTTTTTAATACTGCCGGCTAGTTCAAGGGTTAGTTATTTTAACTCACTTTTTTTTTCAAGTATTGTAAACAGACTGCAAATATTCAAGTTATTTACATGTTCGGCAGCAATGACTCACAAATGCTAGTGTTGTTATATCAGATAAGCCTCGCGCAAACCGGTATGTCTCAAGAGTTTTTATCCCGAAAGTCAGCATAGATTAAACTGCTTACCTTCCAAACATTTTGAAAGCACCTACCCACCCAACTATTTAGCTCGGGGAAAACTTATATAAGGTCTTCAAGAAATAATTTTGCATACGTTGTGGTGTGAAAATCGGATTGGAGGCATGGGGGAGGTCTTTCATAACTGACATAACATTATGTGGGAAATTCGAAAGCATTTCGTGCCAGAAGCAAATAAACATAACACGCACAAAAAATATCAGTAAACAATAACTTCCCCTATCATATTAAATGACAATGGACTTAAGACTTGGGAGTATAGCTGTGTCGTACAGAAACCATATGTGAATCATTATTCACATTACAGTATATTATACTACCTCTATTTTCCAGAGTGGAACAATACTATAGTCGGAAGATACGATTTCCGTGTGTTAAAAGAATGTTCCAAAGTTTTTAACATTTTGAGTGTGGGTGTGTGTTTGTGGACGCGCGCGTGTCTTTTCACCCACTCAAAATAGGCCTCAAGTACTGCCTTCGAATTTCGGTATCATACCATGCACTGATCTTTTCTTATTCTTTCTTTTAAATTCTTTTTTTTTTCTTTTCTGTGGCCAATATCTATATAGTCTTTTTCTGCATGACATCCATGCTACAAAATACATGACAAATAATTTACATGAAAGCGAATCACACTGCTATCAGAAATTTAGAGTGTAACTTGATGGCCATCAAAGATCGAATTAAAACTGTCATATTGATATATATTAATGACACAAATTCAAGATAATATGTTTACTTACCACGATGGTAATTGGGATTCCGACCGCAGAGGAGGTGCTTGAGCCTGAAAAGAAGATTTTAGAAAAATATGAATGAAATAGTCTTTGATTGTGGATCAATATAGATAAAAGAATGTCAAATAAGGTCTTTCGGTCATTATTAGGTTACAAACAATTTCTTATTAAGATTTAGATAACAACAACAAAACAATTGTAAAATTTATAACGACCACATGCGAAGCAAACCGACTTTTATCGATGGCTTTTTAGAGATCTGTGTGTAGAATATTTCGAAAATATATCTTTCGCAAAGCAAATCACAATTATTTAAAAATATGTGTTTCTTCTAATTCTTAGTATGCCGTTCCGTAAAATGAAGACCATCTTCTTTTAATACGTAAAAGAGAAGTTTGTTTCCCATCCAGTATTTTCACGATCATATAAATAAAAGTTAAATACCACTATACCTGCTGGGGGTGTATGTTTCACAAAGATCCTAAGTCAAACTTAAGTCTAAGTTGGACTTAAACATTATGGGGAGCCCTTTTGTAGCCTTGAAATAAAATATATTCAGAAGCAAAAATTTAAGCATTTTAGACTTCTCATGAATTCCACAGTAAGAAGATGAGATTTCCTTGACTAAAGAAAATATGAACGATTTGAATCAACAGTTTATGCCTCTTAAAATAACGTTTACAAAATACTTTCAAAGATGCTAACGGCTGTCCATAATTGCTAAGTCCAACTAAGAGATAAGTTCAACTAAGGAATCTTTGTGAAACACCCCCAGGTCTGTGATATTTTTCGGAATGGGATGGGGAGGGGGAGGCTTTTTGTGTAAGGCGGGACGGGGGAAGTTTGCAAGTTTTTTTGTTCAAGCTGCGCCTCTTGTAACTTCTATATGAACTTTTTATCGTAGTTCTCAGTTACCTGAAATACTAATCCATACTTATACTGTATACAAGAGGAATTAATTATATTTTTCTAAATTGATAAAAATATACACATGTAGTAAAAGAACAAATACTAACGAGCAGTATTGCCGGGTTGCGCGTCTGTGCCGGGTAGGGTGTCGATCTCGAAAACATTTTTCGGAGCATCTTCTTGCTTGGTGGTCTTTGTCGAATCTGAAAAAAAAAGAAAAAGGGAAAATAATTTCAATAAGTTATTCATCTCTATAGACTTCGCCCTTTGGTTAAAAACACGATATTAATGACAAGATAGGCTAATTGCCTTTACAGTGTCACTTTGTTCGTTTGTCAATTCAGAACTGTTTTCTCTTTGAGTCTTTTTACTTCACCTTCTTTACCTTTCGCATGATGTAAAAATAGTCGTAAGTATTTATTGTGTTGTTTGGTTGTTAATTCACGATATTTACAGCAAAGTTTATCCTTTGATATTTTCTGATTATGATGAACTAATGTTTCGGCTTTCACCTTTTCTCATAAAAAAAGGTATTGAATAACAATATGTCCGGAAATTCCCTAAAAGTTCATCTTTTGAAAAAAATTATCCGCGTTTTGGGGGAGAGGTGCAAGAAAAAGTTTTAATATCAATGTTGATTTTCAAAAAGAACCTTTACATATTGTAAAGTCATCGGTAATAGAATATCCAACAGAGTAAATTTCAAAAAATATTTTGAAACGTTATTAATCAAATGGTTTCCATTTCTTGGAAGATTTTTGTTTAAAGATAAAATAAAAGCTACTTCTTGGTGTAAAACTAAATGGCCGATTCTGTGCAATGATATGTATCCATTTATTTCATCCGAATGCGAAAAATCATTTGCCCTAACCATTTATTAATAATAATAATAATAATAATTGTAAATTTATAATGCGCAGTTTCTATATGTATATACTCAACTGCGCATGACATATTGGATATTATTATTACCCCGGCTTTAGCTGTGCTGCCATTATAGCGCTCTAGCATTTCAAGGAATAAATTCCTGATATTTTCTGATATTTTTTGTATTATTAAAATCATTCAGCGGTTTTAATTCTTGGACGAAATAGATATTTTAAAAGGTCGTTTATTATGTCATATGGGACACATTGCATGAATGCCTTATTATGGAATAGAAATCAATCATATTTCAGAGGCAGATTATAGGTAACGAAAATCCTTTACCTTATCTGAAAACCAGGGGCCGTTTCTCGAAACCGAGGAACGGCCCCAAGGTTCTCCTTTATTCCTTTTCTTTCCCGTTTAATTCAAGCCATGCTATACTAGCCAGGTGTTGACTACATCGAAACAGACACGACACAAAAACAACCTTTTTATTTTTCGTTCAACAATGCAAGCAAAACCCGCTCTAGCATATAAGCACAATATGGAATAATTGATTGTAAAATGAGTGCGAACTCCTCTCAACTTTATATAACAAAGGTTTTTATAGCCGATAAAACGCATGGCGGGTATTGAGAACATTTCACAATGTCTTGATAATTGTAACAAGCGGAAGGTGCAAGATAACACTGAATGCTCGTCATACGAGCAATGATTTAGGTAGGCGCGATAATTCCACTTTATTTGAACAAAGAGGTATTTTTATTGATATTTTACCAGCAGTAATCATCTTCCTTTCTCAAGGGCTATGAATATGATAAATTGCATATACTGTATAGGGGCGTAAACTTCCAGCAAGGAAAACCCAAACTTTAATTAGTCAATATTATTGGTCCCCAGAATTTATAAGCCTAAATTGCTGTTTTAATGTTTAGGTCAAAGTAATCAATCAAAAATCTGCCATTATACCTATTTAACGACACCTTTAACATCATACAGAGTGAACAATAAAAAAGGGGCTAGCATAATTTGAATATAAAGCGGGGCAAATTTTACCGGGGCAAGTAGTTGGGGAATCTTTTAAGAAGAAAACAATAGTGGTTGATTGCGTTTATTGTTATTATTTCTTTAAATTATTATTATTACCATTTATTTTTCATTTTCATTTTACACACTGTGTTCTATTTCCAATTAATGTAAGGCACGGTGTCACTCGAATTTCCAAATGATGCTTGAATTTCATTGATTTGCATAACATTGCGTGTTATCAACACTGTACTAATCTCACTAATGGATCTTTACAGCGGGGAAATTTATCAAGGTATCACATAAGGAGCATCTGTATCAGGACAATAACCCCCTGGACATTCACCCCCGAAAAAACTACCCCCAAGGACAATTCCCCCCCCCCCCGGAAAATGTAAATGTAATATTGAATGCAATATGGAATGCATCAGACCATGCAGTTACGTAGTCTCAAAGTCCAAACACTCTCTTACTCACTACAACTGACCGGGTCTGAACCTACAAACTAATCTTTTAGACGGAGACGTTGAAATATGCATCCGTACGGGGATTCCCCTGTATAGTTGTGATGTTGGACCCCCATCTCAATTTCAATTTATTGTGTGCTGTATGCAGCTGCCATAGAATAGAAACTTTCGTTTGTAAGATATTCAATTTGTTTTTGCTGCCTTAGTTGTAAAATATCTTTGTACCATTTATCTGTATTTCTTATTTGCCCCAGGTGGGGCCGTTTAAGAAATGAAATAAACCTTTCAAACCTTTCGAATCTTTCAAAACCTCCCTTGGTATGGGGTGAAACATGATCATTAAACCAGGCGGATATG